CTATCTGTGAGATATCTGTCTCATTATATATGTGTGTGTGTGTGTGTGTGTGTGTGTATGTGTGTGTGTGTGTAATTTTTTGTATAGCAAAACTGTGAAAAAGCCAAATTAGAACAAACAAAAGTAGAAATTGAGAGTATGACATTAGAAAATGCAGTTGTATTCCAAGTTTAACTTCTGTTCGTATATTTAATGTATCGATACACATGTGTTTTATTGTCAGAGGAAGCGCATCCTTTTATGCTTTCCTTTTGAAATGTGTGTTATGACCATTGTCCAGATCATTTGAAGACCTCAGATGAGTCAATAAATATAATTTCATAATATTTTGCAGAGGGAATTATTTTTCTTCAAATGAATGGGCTTGGTTCTCTTATGTAAATGGTTGCCAGAAATATTTTACACTCTGAACAGTTTGGTGTGAATTTTCTTGTGCTGTCCAATTACCATTTATATTACTCTAAACATGTCTCCATAGCTTTATCCAGGAACTTAGTGCTCCTCTTTGTTTTATACAAAATGTCGATATACCATCTGATGAAACCCATGTGAAGTGAAAACTGACTCTTACGTGACCTTCACTGATTTATTTATTGGTTCATTAAATAATTGACACACACATTGTATTAGGCAGTTGGTTATGTCCTAAGGGAAAGAACAAAGACTCATCCCTGGTTCATGAGCTTCTAGTGTTCACTGGAGGAGGCAGGAATGTAAACAGTTGTAATACAGCATAGAAATCCTCAGTAGTAAATGCTCATTCCCAGTTCTATTGGAAGAGAAGTCCTGAACTGGGGGCCTTGTGTAGGATTGCCAGAAGATGTTCAAGCCAAGCAATCAAAATGCATAGAGGTCGGACGGTAGAGCAGTGGTAACACAATGCTCTGTAAGGCAATCGCATACCAGATTTCCAGCTCAAGTCAAGCCTCCTTGAGTCTGCCGGGCACATGAGGGCCCATGACCAGGACTGACTGAAGACTAGGAGGTGTCAAAACCCTGTTTGGTGGGGGCAGCTCCATGACCTGATATAGTTAAGGCCACAGGATCCAATATGGCCAACCCCACCGTTCAAATTCCAATCCTGGAGGCTTGAAAAGCTTGTGTGTGTCTGTGCATATCCCAAATTTCAACAGGATGAAGAAATGGAAGAGAAGGGATTGTGGCATGACTATACCCTTCCCTCTTTATCTCTCCGCTTCTGTCTTTCTCTAGGGATCGCACACACCCTTATGTATATATATTTCAATCAGCAATGTAAAACCCTGTATGGGGTGCCATCTCTCTCTCTCTGTTTCTGTATCACTCATGAAATAAACTTTATAAAAAAGTTAAATATGAGCAGCCCCAGATCTCAGATATGTGCATGCCCCATGCGTAAAGAGACCCCAGGATGTACTCTGGTTGGTGACGTTCTCATGTGGGTCCAGTTGCATTACCGACATGCCACTATCTGGCCTGTGTGTTTGAATTTTATTCTGGAAATAGTAGTTAATGAAATTAATAAAATTAAGTTTGTTAGGCAATTTTTAACGTTGTAAAAACAATTTTGTCTTTTTAGAGTATTGAGTGACCTTTTCTAGTAATCACTGTTGAGTGAGGCCAGGATTGCTGGTGTTCCCAGAGTGACCTCTGGTGGAGGAAAGATGAGCTCACAGTTAAGGGTGGTACCTTAATTAGGGCTTCCTCTCCCTTTCCCCAGTTACTTAACTCAGTGAAACAATTCAGCAGATGTCATCTATTAGCTAGGTGAACATTGTGTTCTTTTAGACTATTCAAAAGCTACACAAACTCTGGAGACAGTCCAGTTTGTTTTGTTTTGTTTTTTGAGTTGTTTTTTTTTTTTTTTCTTTTTCCTTTGGCTATAGGGCGCATGCACTCGCCAGAAAGACACAGAGAGACAGAAAGTGAGAAATCATCCCCCAGTGGGGATGACCACGCCGCAATTCCTTCTCCTCCATCTTCCTCTTGGGATCTTGGATATGCACGCGCACACACACCCGGTTTGAGTTTAAGCCCCCAGGCCTGGGACTCCAACCGCAGTTGACTACGTGGGAGTCCAGGGACATAGCCATTATGCCAACTGTTGGTTCCAGTTTTTAAAAATATTTACAATGGGACCAGAAGATGGGACCATTGCTGGACTCCCATGTGGTAGACCGTGGCTTGAGTCCCAGACCGGGCAGCTTAAAACTCACACTGAGTGTGTGTGTGTGTGTGTATGCTCAAAATCCCAAGAGGAGAATGGAGGAGAAGGGATTGTGGCATGGCCATTCCCTCTGGAGGGTGATTTTTCACTTTCTGTCTCTCTGTCTGGTGAGCACATGCGCCCCATAGCAAAAATCTCTCTAAAAAAATATACTTGCAATTATGCAGTGTGTTTAGAACCTATCATACTCTGGTTATAGAGTGTGTAAAATCAAATGTAGAGAAAAGAATGAACTTGATTTTTTTTAAATATAAATGCTAAAAGCACAGAGGACTCCAAATGCACAGTCAAGTCATATCTGATAAGAACATATATTTAAGTCAAGCTCACAGGCTCTTTGATGATCTTAAACACATAGAAAACACTTGGAATCTAATTGAGAACACGTGGAAATCATACAGTGCAGTGCAAATGCTACCAAGTGCTGCAGTATGTATGGGGCATGGATTTTAAAACAACAAAGTTTCAAATCAGAGATAATTGATGTCTGAGATTAGTCTAGTAATGCAATAGATAGATACTTGGGCAAACAATGAAGCTGGTAGCTAGTCAACGTCAGTTTCTTATCAATAAAGAAAGAGAATATGGAAATAGTAAATGTCACACAACATAATTCATAATAAATAAGGATTTTCACTCCCTCAAATTTAAAAACCACCCAGTGTTCTCTATTAAGTTAAAAAGACAAAATGGGATGATTTACTGATTATGATTGGTATATCCAGAATAGAATGACTCCTCTAAAAATCTAAAGATAAAAGTGATATGGGGGCCAGCAGGTGGTATAGAGGTTAAGGCACTGGATCCCACATAGCCAGCTTTGTGGTTTAGGTCCCAGACCCAGCAGCTGCGGTGTAACCATCCCTCTGGGGCGTGATTTCTCCTCACTCCCGTCCCATCTCTCTCTCTCTCTCTCTCTCTCTCTCTCTCTCTCTCTCTCTCTCTCTGATGAGCACATATGCCCTAAGGCAAAATCTAAAAAACAAGCAAGCAAAAAAACAAAAATGAGACCAAAGATCATCCTCCAAATGTCAACAAAAAGTCATATTAGGCAAGGTAGAATTTAAGGCAATAAGTATTA